ATATGTTGTTGTTTCTAGAGTCATCGATCTCTGTCATTTTATGATTATAATTTATGATGATAATGATAATAACGAATACAATTCATCAAATTATAATATTATAATAAATAAAATATTTTAAAATATGATAAATAATATTTTCATCTATATTCAATTCTAATATTATATTTAATAAAATATTTTAAAATATAATACATAATATTTTAATGTACATTATTTTTAACATCAAACCGCGCATAGACGAGGCTGTATAGGGCCCAGGGAGGCTCGTGGGCCCCTTGATTTAAAAAAAAATCAATATATAGATATAAAGAATAAAAATATATGTGTATATAAAGAAAATACTATAAAATATGTATAAAAATGTACAAAAAATATTTACAAATTATTAATAATTAAGACTTATTTTCTATGCTATTATATTTTAAATTAATAATATTATTCGTTTATTGAAAAATAGACTAACAAACCTTATAGTTTATATTTTTATATAAATTTTCTAAAATGTTTATAATGATTTACTCTTTTGGTCTCTTAATTGTAAATAGAATTAGTGATTTATAAAGCCTACTTAAAACCTACTATTTAGTTGGACTGTTACATTTTTTAATATTAATTTTTTACTTTTTTATTAGTGTACTCACATGTTTTAAAATTTATTTATTTTCTTCTTTGACAAGCTCTCATCAACAAAAATGTTATGCAATGTGCTACAAAAGTTGAATTTAAATTAAATTTTCAACCAATAAACTTATTTTTTCATAAACTATATATACACAATGAACCTATATTGTAAATACATTAAATCTCTCTCTCTCTCTTTTTTTCTTAAGTTTGACTGTGATACAAATTTTAAGTTTGTAAAAATTAATGCTACACTACACATATCGATATTTATATGTTTATAGTTTTATATGAAATGAGCATTCCCACTTAAACTACAAGCTCGTTATAAGATTTAAAATCGGGCTCCCTGACTGAAATTCCTAAATCTGTCACTGATTGTGCAGGTGACAGTGATAATTCCCCCTATATATTAATCCATAACGCACTGAGCTTACGTGGCTGTTTTTGGTGCTTCGGAATCCTATGTGGCAAAATTACATGTTTCGTTATTAGGCTTGGGTAAATTTAATTTAATTCTAAACCAAAAATAATTAGGTTCGAATTACCATAAATATGTTGATTATTTATGGTCATGTTACATGTATTAATTGCATTTTAATATCATTCCTTATTATAACTATTGAATTGTATATATATTTTAAAAGTTAATAACTTTTGTATTTTTTATCAGTTTTACATATGTAATATATCAAATTAATCTTATTTTGATGAGCTTCGATCATATTGTATGAAAAAAAAATTATCTTTATCTTTATAACAATAATAAAATTATTTTTAATATTAATTAGAAAAATAAAATTATTTATCAACTAATATATTTATATTTCAAGTAGTTATATGATATAAGTTATAAAAGTTAATAACTTTTGTATTTTTTATCAGTTTTACATATGTAATATATCAAATTAATCTTATTTTGATGAGCTTCGATCATATTGTATGAAAAAATAATTTATATTTATCTTTATTAATGATAATATAAAGGATCAGAGTGGATTCATCAAGGATCGAGTCAGTAGTGATAATATCCTACTGGCTCAGGAGATGATACACGACATCTCTCATGCGAATCGAACACGAACCCCGAACCTCGTGCTGAAGCTAGTCATGGCCAAAGCATATGATAGGGTCGAGTGGTCGTTTCTCAGAGAGGTACTGGCTCGGATGGGATTCCCTAACCATTGGATTAGCTTTGTGGAGGCGTGTGTGGAACACTGCACATTCTCCGTTTTGATTAATGGTAGCCCCACGACCTTTTTCCCCTCTACCCGTGGCCTTCGTCAAGGGGACCCTTTATCCCCCTCCCTTTTTGTTCTGGTGGCTGACTATCTCTCTCGCTGCCTCGACGGCTTCATTCGCGATTTTCCGAGGATGACCTACAGCACGCGTGGTTGTGGGCCTCCATTTCCCATCTTTCTTACGCGGATGACATTATCATTTTCACTCGTGCGAATGATAATGGGCTAGTTGCTCTCATGAGTCTTTTGGACCACTACAGTGAGACATCTGGCCAGCTAGTCAGTGTTAGTAAGAGTTCCTTTATCATGGACCACCACGTTGCAGACCATTGGGCTCACCAGATTCACGAGCGTACTGGTTTTACTCGTGGAGACTTACCCATCCCTTACCTTGGGGCCCCCTTGTACAAAGGCCATCTTTCCCATGAGCTTTTTATTGATGTCCGTCAGAGGATGATTGACCGAATTTCTGGCTGGTCTCATAGACACCTATCCTTCAGAGGCCGACTTGCTCTGATCAAGAGCACTCTTTGTGCCCTTCCTCTTCACCTTCTCGCGGTTCTTGACCCCCACCAGTCCACGATTCATGAGTTGGATTAGATCTTAGCCCGCTATTTTTGGAGCTATGGCGAGGGCTCGCGCGGTCGGCGGCAGACCTGGGTGAAGTGGGACTCCATCTGTCGTCCCCACCCTGTGGGTGGGCTCAGGATTCGGCGTTTCTCTGATATGGTTACTGCGTTTTCCTACAGGATGTGGTGGCGCCTTAGGGAGGGCAAGTCCCTTTGGGCCCAATACCTCCTGAGGAAATATTGCCCTGGTGGTGCTGCTCATTCTTGCAGGGTGACAGCCACCGCTCGGGACAGTCGACAGTGGAGACGTCTCACCATTGTTGGCAGGCGTGCTCAGGAGCACATTTTTTGGATCTTGGGTTCTGGGGAGGTTAGCTTCTAGGATGAGTGGTGGTTCGGCGAGGCCCCTCTCTCGAGCACTAGGCCTGTCACTCACCTGCCTTTTATGCAGGTGAAGGACCTTTGGACGGGAGGGTTTTGGGATAGAGATAAGATGGAGGATATTCTTGGTGAGGGTGGGGGTTTTAGTAGTCTAGAGATTGACCAGATCCGACAGATTCCCATTATGGAGGGAGGTTTGGATGGCATGAGGTGGAGACTTACATCTTCGGGTGCATTCTCTACGTATTCAGCCTGGGGAGAAGTGAGGCTGGGCAACCGGCCAAACCGCCTCTTCGAGGCCATATGGACTGACCTTCTCACCCCGGCCATTTCCGTCTTTTGTGGCGCCTCCTATTACGGCGGATTCCCATTGACACTGTGATGCAGGCGAGAGGGTTCTCCTTCCCCTCCCGCTGCCATTTTTGTGCTGAGATCGGTACCTTTGAGATCGAGACTTTCGCCCATCTTTTCCTTGAGAGTGAGACTGTGAGGAGAGTGTGGGAGCACTATACCAGATATACTCATATACCCCTACCCACTACAGACAGTTTTTTTGAGCTTCTGAGTTTTTTCTTACACCGCACACACAGTAGACATGTGGGCTTCCTTATTCCTTGTCTGATCCTATGGGCCACCTGGACAAATAGGAATAATGCGAAGCATAGGGATATTATATTTTCTTGTGCTCACATTATTTTGTAGGTTGACAGACACCTCTCTCTTCTCACCGCCCTGGGTAGACTCACGACGAGAGACTGGACAGGGTGTACACCGCCCCATCGTTTGAGGCCACCTCCTCCTTTACCTGTCCAGCATCCACGACCCAGGACCGTTGTTTGGCTGAAACCCAAGGCCCCTTGGGTTAAGCTAAACACTGATGGCGCTTTCGACAGACATACCGGAGCTGCTGGAGGAGGGGGCCTGATTAGGGATCATGATGGGGCACTCATCTCTACCTTCCATGGGCCACTCCGGGCCTCCTCGAGTTATGATGCAGAGATTCAGGCGCTCCAGATTGGCCTCGAGATTGCCACCTCGATCTCCTCTCATGTCTGGATAGAGATGGATGCTGCGGCTGTCATCACACTTTTGACATCTGGCCACCAGGGCTCATGGCAGATCCAGCATCCTCTTATGCGTATCAGAGACACCCTCCGCTCGATCCATTACCATGTCTCACACAAATTCCGGGAGGGGAATCGGCCTGCTGATTTCCTTGCTAGCACGGGGGCTTCTATACCCCAGAGACGCACCCTTCTTCCTGAGGACATTCCCCTCCGGCTTCGGACGCTCATTCGGATGGACCAGTTAGAGTATCCATCCTTCAGATTCGGTCGACCGCCACCACCTGCCCTGACTAGTTTTGACATTTTGGACTCCATGACAGGTCACCCTGACCAAGACGGCCTTTTTTTTTTTGAGGTTTTGATTTTAGATCCACATCGGTTTTTCTTTTGTGATCCTTGTATTTTATTCTTTATTTTTATTTTCTCTACTTTTGATGTTGCTTTATGTATTTCCGACTTGGATGTAGATCATTGACTCTTTAGCCCTAGCTGGGCCATTATATTCACAGGTCGGGGGTATAGCCTCAACCCCCCATCCCATTCTTAAAAATATAAGTTATAAAAACTAATATAATATAACACATGTAAGTCATAAGTAACACATATCATTCTAAAATATATAGTAATATATTTTAAAAAAAATGAACTGAATTTAATATAGTTTTCTCATTAATTTTAAAATTTAAGAATAATTTTTTAACAAATACTCGTGGAATACACAGACCCGTGTAATACACGGGTGTTTTACTAGTAATTTCAATAAACATTAAAGTAATCCCAACTTGTAACTTAGATCAACCATAATTAAAAGTAACCGAGACCATATCCTAAAGAAAGAAAGAGAAAAAAGAAAAAGAAAAAAAGACCAAGAAAAACAATATATCAAAACAAAGACAGTGACACTC